ACCATTGCCCGGATCAAAACATGCCCCGGGCCGAGAATCCTTCAATAATTAGCGCGGTGTTATGTGTCAATAATCAGCGCGGTGTTATGTGTCAATAATCAGCGCGGTGTTATGTGTCCAGGGCTTCTGTATTGAGCACGTCAGACAGGTCATCACATTAGCGCGGTGGCTTATTACACTAAAGTGTTGTTAGGACTTTTTATACGGAACATTACAAAGTTGGACGTCTCGTTTCTCTAAATAACCCTGCGTACGATCAGTTTCCAAGTACCCGAGCTGAGACTCGAACCCCGAACCCTTATCAGAGTTTGACAGAGGCCTTCACAGTATGACATAACCACGTAACTACAGGTATATTGTTTCGCTATGAATGACAAACGAGCTGCATTTAAAAGAAGGTGTATACCTCATTCCTTCTTCCTTTTAATCCTCAACACCCTCCCCCCTTTCAGAAAAAACCCCTTAAAATTCGTGAGAGAGGCAATCCACAAAGGACGAGAGCGACAATAAATATGTGTCTACTCAGACAAGGAACAAAATATTCCCCACCAAACTCTGCCATGAGATCACCGACATAGAAAGGGACAACCTGAAGCTATGGACACTGTATCATTGTACTCATATTTCAGATAGAGCCATATTTCAAAGAGAGATATCAAGGGGCATCTTCCCATGTGGTATTGTTTCATTTCGTTATTTCCGTCATCGTTTTATAATTGAAAAACACACACCCCAAAACCCTACAGCTTACGTCAAAGCTCTGATCTGGCCACTATTTCTATTCTCAAAATGTCAAAACTTTGACTAAGGCGACCGTAGAATGAAGCTAACAATCTCCAGACCCTGCTATTTCCGAGGTGTGACAAATATGGACAAGGCACTGACTGTCCAGACACGCTAGTCAAGATGTAGCCTCGACTCGTGGAATCTGCAGCACCGCAGTCTACACTGCGACATTCACTACATGGAGCAGATGAGGAACAGCAAAATCGGTCTCATGTTTTAGTAGAGGTTTTACGGCGCTCAAAACTGCATAAGGTCATATGAGCGCCAGAAGATTAGAGGTGTTACAAGAGAGTAACAAACATAAAAAGAAGAGGGGGAGACAAGGACGATAGATGTTTGATAGGAAAGAAGAAGCAATGGGTCTCATATAGGACTGGGCACAAGAAACGATAAGACATATTTTTTATTTCGTTGGTAAAACATGTACGTCCTCTAAATACACAGACACATCTCTCTCTCTCTCTCTCTCTCTCTCTCTCTCTCTCTCTCTCTCTCTCTCTCTCTCTCTCTCTCTCTCTCTCTCTCTCTCAG